AAATTAATTGTTTCATGCCTAGCCCTGATCAGGGCCAGGTATGAAACAGTGTTTGTCCGTGCTTATACATTTGTCATAAGAAATATCCGGTATGAAAAATTAATCTAAGATTTCTTAACATACATTAGTATAGAAAAGTAGTTAAGGTTTTTTTTGTGAGCTATCAGCATGTATAGTTTGTTTATCCTAAAGCATACATATAGTTTACTCGGAAGTGCTAACATTTTTTTGTCCTGACGGTCTAGACCAATTAATTGCATGAGGCATGTGAGCAAAGATGACAAAAGTAAGTACAGCTGACAATACGACGCGATGTCCAGATTTTTCTCAGATTTTCCAAATTAATATTTGTTGAGTTTTGTCGCCTGAAAGATCATCCGGACACAAGTGGACAAAATAAAGCAGCAAAGTTTCTGGAAATTGTAGCAGTCATAGTCCGATGGCCATTGATTCGTTGGAAAGTCCTTATTCACACGAAATGTGATTCACTGTTTCACAAGAAAAGTGCCTCTTCTTCTAAAACTATTCCCCTAAGATCGAACAATAATCCCGCACACATCGACGAGTTCTCTACACGGTAGTCATATTTTGTCTCTCCTATTTTAGGTCGCTTTGATGACGATTTCGCTATGGTTTTTGGCGTGGACGCCTTACGGTATCATCAACTTTTCCGGTGTCTTTGACTTATTGAATTTAAGCCCACTCACGACCATCTGGAGCTCAGTGTTCGCCAAAGCTAATGCCTGTTATAACCCAATTGTTTATGCTATTAGGTAAGTTATCAATTTAATTATACGGGGCGATTTGCTAATACGGTAAGATATCTACGGTGAAAGTCACAAAACACTCATCTCGATTTGTGACATTTTTAGTACAGTATTCCATCCGTTCAATGAAAAACCAACGAACATTATTTTTTGTCCTGTAAAAAAATTCTCTACGAATTTCGAAATATAACACCCATTGGTTTTTTTGTGTGAAGAAATTGTTTAATTTCTTCACAAAACGTACATTAAACGTTGCAATCGAGACACGTATTTTATTGCAACTGAAATCGTCGATTTATATATTTATCCAGATTTATATTTTTCCGGTTTCAGCCATTAGAAATTTGTTTGCAATGACGAAACTGCTTTGTAAAAGAAACTAAACGGTATTACAAGGGGAGGAAGCGAAGACAGTCGTTTGAACCGTTGGAATTGGTTAGGTTATCACTGGCTAAAACCATTTGTGAATTGAGGAAATATAATCAGAGACTTTGTGAAATTACGAAACAGCGTTCCAAAAATGCCTTCCAACTCTAGATTATGCAATGTCAGCAACGTGTGAGTTTGAATTGTTGTATCACAGATTGTGCCTCTCAGTGCCCGAAGTCCTCAAGAAGAGGCTAATTGATTACCTACCTCTATGCCCTCTACCACTATGCCGCGGTTAGGCACGTGCCCTTATTTATCGGTGGTTTAATTTCAGATGCATAGGCGTTAAACAGTCGTATCCTCATCTAGTATGGGTAAAAAGCATAGATAAGAAATTTTTATGGGAGCGTTTACATAGTTAGCAAGAATTCGGTAAGAATTCTAACTAATGCACTAATAACTGCGCTACAAATTAGGTAACAGTTGGGGCATAGATGGGGGCATAGATGCTCCTTGAAAGTTTCTCAACTCGGAATCTCCTTAACCCTAGCTTTACCAACCGGGTCAAAATTCGGGAGGGATAGGTGATCCATACGCCAGAATAGTTTCGACGTTTGGTTTCTTTAACGTTGCATAGTTTATTGGGGGGGGGGGTTAATTAAACGTAGTTTACGGATGATACACTGGGTCGATTCATCCGCATTGCATGGGACCTAACTCAGTGTTTTTTGTCCATTTTTTTTAATCAATTTCGTTATACCTATTTCATGTGCAAGTTGTTAAGAATAATGGATACAGGAAACACCATTTTTCATTCTTTATGATCGTCATAAAAAAACAATAATAAAAAAAACAAAACAGATAAATAAACAAACAAACAAACAAAGAAATGAACAAATACTGCTGCTTCATACAGTTTTAAGATCACCCCTGTTATCTCTCCTTTAAATAAACTAAAACGCAAGATTATCCTAAATCTAAGCTCAGATTCGGATTCCTCGTGAAAAATCGATGCCATTTCATGTGTCATACGTTAGCATAGCATGGAGAAAATAATAAAAAAACAAAACAAAACAAATAAACAAACAAACAAACAAACAAATACTACTGCCTCATACAGTTTTAAGATCACCCCTGTTATCTTTCCTTTAAATAAATTAAAACGCAAGATTATCCTAAATCTAAGCTCAGATTCGGATTCCTCGTGAAAAGTCGATGCCACTTCTTATATCATATGTTAGCATACCATGAAGAAAAGAGGGTAAACGTATGCGTAGAAACTATCGTTTGAGGTATGCTGCCAGCGGTCGCGGCTCGCGGGTTCGTGGAATCTGCCCTTAGCGCCAGCTGCGGCGCCAAGCTTTCGGTTTCGTCCCGAGGAATTTCTGCGAAGATAAATTGGACCGCGTTAAACAGAAAGGAACCAAGCCACATCAGCTGTTGCCAAATTTAATTGGGCGATTTAATTTTTTACATGAAAATGGTTGTGCGGATTTTCGTGCAAATTTCAGTGAAAATTCTTCATGATACGAAGCAAATTCCTTAAAAGTTTTAAGGAAATCCGAACAAACGTTCTTTCGTATAAAATTTATTTGCCCAGTTAAACTTGGCAATAGCTGATGTGGCTTGGTTCCTTTCTGTTAAACTCGGTCCAATTCTTCTTACTCATCCGCCTACGCACTCAGCTGTTGCCTCAACCATGTTGCCACGTTGCGTTGAACTGATATGGTGGAATCTGTACTCACACGTTAAGCCTCTTTCCTTCACGCTACGCTAGCGTGCGATACATGAATTTCCATCGATTTTTCACGAGGAACCCGAATCTGAGCTTAGAATTAGGATAATCCTACGTTTTAATTTATTTAAAGGAGAGATAACAGGGAACAGGGGTGATCTTAAAACTGTATGAATCAGTAGTATTTGTTTGATTGTTTATTTATTTGTTTTGTTTTTTTATTATTGTTTTTTTATGACGATCATAAAGAATGAAAAATGATGGTGGATTTTGGACATCTTGTGTTTTAAGTCCAACTTTTAAAATTCCAAAATCCAAAATAGCGAACGCTGTCTGAAATGCTATCTCAGTTCCTGTTAATTCGATTCCAATGAAACTCGTTACCAGTTGGTCTTTTTCAACGGGAAACTCGAATCATCGGTCAAATTGTCAAACTCTCAAAATCCAAGATGGCGGTCGTGGCCTAAAATGGCTTCCTGGCTCATGTTAGTTAGATTCTTAAACGCGGTATCAGGGGGTATTTCTTGCCGGGAAACTGGAATTTTTACACAACTTATAATTATAATTAAATTAACGAACTAAATTTAATTTAAACTAATTATATTANGGCCCTTTAGGCCCTTTGAGGCACGGGTTAAAATTTTTTTAAAATTTTTTCCTTTTAGGGGGTTCATTTAGAGACTACATAGAAACTTTTTAGGGGTTGACCAACTTGATTTTCGCAAAACTCAAAAATAAGGCACACCCTAGGGAGCGTGGAATGTGTCTAATTTATTTTTCCTTTGATACACGAATCGCTTGTTTCGAAAAGTTTCCAACCCCGAGACAAAAGAATTTCAGAGAATGAAAGAAGCAAAAATTGTATTCAGCCTAAGATTTTCCGTGAAGGGAAAATTAAAGTTATCGCTTTAAGTTACCTAAAGGGATCTCATAGACCAGAATATGAAAATTTTCGATTCTTAAATGTTTAATTATGAACGATGTTAAACCTTGTTCCTTGGTGTTGCGGGTATTTTCCGAAAACGACGAAATTACGAATAATTCCAATGTTAAAGGAAAATGGAAAAAAAAAATATGGGGAAAATGAAAATAAACTGAACCCCAAAGGCCATGTTCCAACAATGTAGATATTGAGTCCTTTTTTTCTTCAAATTTTTATGAGTTGGACACTTTCTATTAAATTTTTATTTATCGCTATATTGAAAAAATAGTGTTTTTGTTAAACTAAATAATTATTTGTAATCAGTAATTGTTTTAAAATTTTTTAACTATCTTAATAGCTTCAGTATTATGCTTTACAAATTTAGACAAATTCCGAGTACAATAGTATACAAATATTTAGTACAATTTCCGAAGCAAGACATTCTCATGTGTTATATTCTCACGATTTCAGTCACCCAAAATTCCGTGCTGCACTGAACAAGAAATTCCCTAGTCTAGTCTGCGGCAGTGTCGAGCAACAAGGAGGCGACTCTGCGTCAGCCGCGTCTGGAGTGACGGCCGTGACGACAGAAGACAAGTCCTCAGCGTAATCCGGAAAACCAGGATAGCCTGAACAAACTGGATAACCTGGATAACGCAGCAAATGATCTGATTCATCGTGCGGACCACTCAACTAGGTGTCAGAAATTACGCTGATGGTCGCTGCATCGCGCTCTGGTGCAAGCCTTCACGATTTTCAGAAATTTAGGCGTGTCTTACTTCGGCTCTCTTCAAAATATACGATTCTGTTTCAAAATGGTGCTGTACGTTGGTGTCCGCCAACTGGAGCCTAAATTAGCGAAAAGTAAGTGAGGAATCGGAGGGTCATAATCCTGTGATTTTAATAAACTGTAAATTGGCACCTCTCACCCGTAGAAAATGTTAGACTGGCTGTGCCAGGTAGCATTTGGTTTAAAGTGACGTCACTTAATTTCAAAAATGGTTGCGTAAGGAACGGTATTCACTCTGTCAACCCTCTGAGCACCAAGAGATTGGGATATAGAGAGAAGCAAATTTCCTCTGTCTTAATTTATTTACTTACGTTCCTTTTTCATTTTCATAAGTGTTATATTTTTTAGGAATTAAAAAGGGTGAAATTACTCCAGAAGATAGCTAGTCTTGCTGCAAGACCTCTTGAAGAAATTTAAACACGCGCATTATTGCTTGATGAATTTTCAAGAACTTTTCTTCAAAAATTTCAGTCTAAATCTCACGAGCAATCATCAATCGCCGGTAATTTGCATGCGATTTGCCTGCTGCCTCGTCTAATTGTATGTCTTTTTCATCAGCATGATTGAGGTTGCACCGGCGAGGAACTTTAAAATGATCTTTAACATGATCTTAACATGATCTTTGCTTGGAGCGCCTTCATTTCCCCGTGAGACTCCCTGATCTGCAATCCAGTTAGTTTAGTTGTCTATCCGAACCAAACCCAACTACGGTTACTGATTTCACCACACGCACACGCAAGTGTACCGGGTGTACCGCATACGCAAGTGTGCATTCATTAAGTAAAAACAGTATTTTTCTACTCCAACCACACAAATCAGAATTTCTGTCTTGTTTTTTTATTTAAAAATTTGCATGTTTTTTTTTTCTTTTTTCTTTTTTTTTTAGTATACGAGTATTGCTTGCAAATTGTCGGCGATTGCTGATTGCCTGAGCTATAAATAGATACAACTTTGTTTTTGTTTCTCTCTTGCTTTCTTCTATTTTAAGAAAAAAATCAATGGTGCCGAAGACATCTTTGGCATCGCACAGTTAAGTACCACGCGAATAACCTTTCCATTTAAAAAGAACAAAAAATTGATAAATGAACTTAAAATTTGATAATTCGATTAGTTTCTAATATAATTGATTATCTTCTTTCGGGCTCGTGGTCAAGGTAACTTGCTGCTCGAATTGTCGTATTTATTGTAAGTGAAAAGAACACGTAGAGACCAATGTCATCATTAATAATCTTCTAATGCATCTTACACTTTCACCGTGCACGATGATTAGACGAAGTTAATATATATATATATAAATTAGAATATGCTGGAAGGGAGATCCTCCAATCTTGACCGAAGGGTGTAAAAATAAAATCGAATCAAACACTTTGGTAAAGATGTAATCCCAAAGATTCAACGGCTCAGGAGAAGTCTAAAAATTGTTTAGGGGCTTCTCTTTGAGAAAACACCTCTTTTCTCCATGAAAAAATAACCTCTATGAGCATTTTTACTAGTCGTACTCAAGCCCCATTGAAGAAAATGGCGAAATCTGCACTGATATATTTTTCTAAATGTGTTATCTATATGTATCCAAAATTTTATTATATCATATATTTGTCGCCTCCTCGACATGAAAATAAACTTTTAATAACTTCATCACGCCCTACATAAAAAAACTCAACGCAGACATGCACTTGATGTACCTGAAATAGTTCAAATTCTGAAATCGACTCAGTTTTAAAAACACTGTGCTTTACTTTGGTTTTAAAATTATTTAAACTCGTTCTCCTCACGATTCTTTTTAATGATTGGCCCGTTAATGTGAAGTACCTCCAAATTTTCTCCTGATTGTTTTCTCATCAAAACTGGACCTATCAGGTTTGCATCATAAGTTTTGAAATTCCAAAGATATTTGGGTTTAAAAAAAATAAAAGTACCTTGAGGTGTGATTTTAAATTTTACCGATAAATAAAATATCAGATCTGGACATCCAGTTATTTTCATCACTTTGAATGACATAAACCTTTTTTGAATCATCTTCTCATAACAATTCCTCTATAAATTAATCTTAAATTAAAAACTAAACGGCACAGAAGAATCCCTCCGTGTTTTAACTACATGGATTTGAATTCATATTCCTAATATGATTGATATTCCTGCTGATCGGTATTGGTCGGTGGCTGGCGCAAGTTTTTACTCAAACTTTATAAATACATCGGTACTTACTCGTAAAATCGTCATGGAGTTTACATGGTGACGTAGCCTTTACTGTCAATGAAAATTTCACCAAGGAGAACTCATTCGAATATAACTGACGGGAATTTCTTGTACAGTTTTAGCGTTTATGATCGTAATTTACGGAATAAAACCTTTTCAATTTAAAATTTTTTTCAACCTGTTTTCTTCTCTTTCTCTGTTTTTTCCCTTCAAAGTTAAGAGAGAAATATGTTTTCAGGTATCCGCAGAACGGTGGAAATTCCCTCTTTCAAATGCTTTGCAAACATTTTTAAGCATTTAGTTGTGATAGTCACGGCGAAAGGGGTCTTAGGATGGAATAAAAATGAATTGAATACAGCAAGGCTGGAAAGGGTCAATTTTGCTATATTTTGCGCATAATGTAGATCAGCCAGAAATTGGGGGATTTAAAGCCCCTTGATCAATTGCAACGTTGTGAAGTATTGCCTCGCAAATTACGCATCAATCAGGAACGGTTACAAATTTTCTGCTGAAAAATTTTATGAATTTTCTTTGTGATTCGACGGAAATTTGCTTAAATATTCGATGCACAATGTCCACCTGAACATGAATTGATGGAAAAAATATTAGTTTCGTAGGGAAACTTAGAAACGATAAAACGGAATCAAGCCACTCAATTCCAAGAGGTAACCCATTGAGAAAGTTTGAACGCTAGAGGGCAATGAATCGTTAAGTTTCGAAAAACGTTCTTGACGTTTTCGGGCGCATCGTCACCTTAAGACACATTTTATTGGCAATGCCTATGACATTTTATACCAAACAAATTGCAACATAAAATTTTCTCTACATGTCCTTGAAAGTGTTGTCCATGGAACATTGAGAAGAAAGTATCGGCATAATTTAATCAAAATTGATTTTTCGTTTGGTGCGCTGAAAAATTTTAAGAGCCTTACAGTGATAAGGCTCTTTTTTGGACTGTCTCCATCACAGACAGATTTAATCTGATTGCGACTGAAAAAAGCAAACAAAAGCTTAAGCATCGGTGAAGTATATATTTCTTATAAAAAAGGTAAAATAATTAAAAAAATATCGAGAACAATTAATATATAGATTGGAACTTTTAAAAATAAGCAAGACTGCTCCAATGGTTCAACAATTCACTCAGATGCCGGATGCACTTCCATGAGCTGACAGGTCTTGGATCTTGTCACCATCTGTCGAACTCAATTTCAACAAAACCGGTAATATTTTCTCTTTATTTGTGCGTATTTGGATTGATAGAATCTTTGAATTGTTCACTCTGATACTTGAAAAAATAATTTCGCACAGCAAGTAAGTCGGAATCAATCGAGTATACTACTTACAGCCTAAAATGATCTTTTGATTTAAGGGGAAAAAATTCATCTTTGGCAATTAAATTTGTACGGGATTTACCTATTCTTAGGTAATTTTTTATTGCTTGTAAAAATCCCTATTTTTGTAAGTAAATATAGGGGAAAAAATTAAAAATGTTGAGAACTTACACAGAATAATATCACTTATCTAAGCTTATAATGTAAAGACGTTCTTCAGAGTTCCTTGCATTATCATGAGCAAATTATCAGCGTTTATAATAGGTAAAACCTCTCATTCGTAATTAAGGTATCATCAGTGTAAACTGTAATACACGCCGAAATTCATGAACGCTGGCAATAGCGGATCTTTTTATGCTTTTTTCATTAGTTGACACGGTTTCAATGGATCTGAAGTCGACCTCACAGCAGGATATTTCACGGTGTCGTTATAGTGACGTCATAAAATGTCCTGTATGTTGTTATCAGTCGACACCTGCATTTTTTCTGAATATGCTGGACCGTGTGAAAAGAGGTATAGACGAGAGGAGGCCGATGATATCGTGTAGTTCCTTTTTGTTTTGCCTGAGTTGGTGGAGGGTGGCGAGCTTTGGTTGATGGAATTTGGGCGTGTTAATCGATAGTGAGCTGTTTGAAGGAGCCTTCCAGCCCGAAGAGGTCGTCGTGGGTCTTGGGCTTGCCAGGGCGTCGAGCTTCGTCTGCTTTCACCGTTTCCTGTTGCAGGAACCAGTCGCGGTAATCCATCAGCTTCTGGTACCATTGCTCTGAAAACAAGGAACGGAGGGATTTTTTCATGAGAAGAGCTTCCCAATAGCATTAAAAAAAAATCCTGAATAGAGATGTTGCATGTGTGAGGAATTTGCGATTTGACTGTTGATTCTTGTGTAATAGTTCGCGAAAAACACGATGGTGCCACTGGTTTTCTCTGAAATCATCCCCTAAGCTCAAAAAAAGCTCTCAAAGTGAGCCCAAAATGGAGGGGATATCCCACCCTACCCTGAGAGTCCACATCTACATCAAAACAAACTCTCCATGCAAAGATAGGGAGCAAATACATTGACAGGGCTGCCACTTTATTTGGGGACTCCAAAACTGAAAACACGGCATCACTGCTAATGTATTCGCTCCCTATCTTTGCATGGAGAGTTTGTTTTGATGTAGAGATGGACTCTCAGGGTAGGGTGGGATATCCCCTCCATTTTAGCCTCACTTTGAGAGCTTTTTTTGAGCTTAGGAGATGATTTCAGAGAAAACCAGTGGCACCATCGTGTTTCTCGCGAACTTTTACAGAAGAATCAATGGTCAAATCGCAAATCCCTCACACATGCAACATCTCCGTTCACAGAGCTTTTGGAAAGAGTCTATCATAAACTTTTGTTGGAGCAGAAAGAAATGTAGCTTCGCACATGGAAAAAAAATGATTGCTGATTTAGAGATTAAATTGGTAGATGCGTCCGACCTGTTTCAAATGTACATTTTACAATAAGGGATGCTCGGGGGTGGTTAAAATAGCATTTTTTTTTATTGTAAAATTTACATTGAAACATGCCGGACACTTTTTTTAACTACATAATTGTTAAATCAGCAATGTCGTTTTTTTCGGTGTACAGAAAATGGCTCAAAAAGCACGATGAGCACATTTGAAAAGTTTGAAATTCACTCCTGATCTGCGTCAGGAATTTACGCGTTTTTTGAGCTCCCCCCCCCCCCCCCCCACCTTTCAAAAAGTACACTGCGACGACAGTAGACGACAATACAGACGAGCCACCTCCACCCCCGTTTCACAACTCCACGGAAAACTTAAAATGGCCGCCGTCATGTGTCGCAGTTTTTCAATTAACAATGGACAACATGTACCTCTTGTGTTCCTCTTATCGGTACCTCATGAGTACACCATCAATCAGACATTCTCAAATTCCTGCTTTTCAAGTTAATTTTATTCGTAGTTTAAGAAATTTGATTTTTTTTAACTAAAAAATTTTAATTAAAGAAATCCTTTTGTTGTTAATATTTTTTTAGAGTTACGTCAAATGAACTGCGGTCATTTTCAGTTTCGCGTGCAGTTTTAAAGCCAGTGCGACTTACTTGTATTATGTATTAAATTATATTTTTGTCGCAGTATACTATCTGTAAAAAAAATGTGCACATTTCTTCCGCAGAGTGTGAAATTAAGAGTGAATTGCAGACTTTCTCGATGTACTCGTCGTGATTTTTGAGTCTCTTCCCATTAACAGCAACTCTTTTTTTTCGCTTCGGAAACGTTTTTATGCAGACCCATTACCGTGCTTAATTATGAACAGTGTTGCCATGTCTACGTCGCTCTCTTATTTGCTCCCCAGTTTCAGGCCGATACCTACGAGGAAAGTGTAGTTCTCGGAAAATATCTATCACAATTTTTTTAAAACTCATTTTTTAGAGGCTGAGAATTAAAATTTTTTTGGTCTTTTCTGTCGCCATCATGTTTCTTTGAATGATACCCAGAAGGCTCCATGAAAACCAGCAGAAAGCTGTGCGGTTTTTTTGCACAAAAAAAAGTGTACGAGGAGTGACTACCTCTATTCCTAAAAGAATATTCCTGTTCGTAATAATGCAAATTTTAGTTCACATGATGCAATGAATGCGACCTCATTTTACGCGAGAAGGAACGTGCTGTTTGTCACATTTTAGAAACATCATTGTGTGTCATCGATTCTCCTATGCAGGTAGGTGCTTTCATGAATCAGTCGGAAAATGTACTTCTTTCTTGTGCAATGGTTCAAAGTTTCCAGGTTAGAAACGGAAAAGTAGGCAATCGGCAATACAACGATGCAAGTTATTACGAAATTCTTGAGACATGTTGATTCATTTTGATTCCATGGAATAAAAGATTTAGCAAGATGTAAGTACATCACGCCACAAGTTGGAACAATAGCTAACAGTCACATTGCAACCAATGCAACTATGGAAGGAGAGAAAAATTGAAAGGAACATACAACATCTCCACAGTATGAAGTGCTAAAGGGAAGGGATCAGTGTGCGTAAAAGTTATTGAACGAAAACACATATTCGTACGGTACTTAGAGAGATCGGATGGTTTTTTTACTACTTATATTGATATTACTACTATTATTGATAAATCATAGTCCCTCTACGGTTGCGACAAGAGCAACGAACGGCGCAGTTCTCCGATTACATCAACTAATGTGCGTATTTGACATTTAGTTTTACAGGAGAAAGTCATTTTTAAGCACCATTCGGCAATCGCTTAATCAGGGCAAAAAGCCAATTAGGTGCCCTCTATGAAGGAGGGAGGTTCGAGGAGGAACGCTAATTAGCCAGTTTTTTTAGCACGATTTTACCACGATGAACAGGGCAATGATACAATGCTCTCCATAACGATAATTAACTATTCTTTAAGTAAGGGGTTATTCGAGTATTACGTAACGCACTTTTTCCGAGTTTTTTGCCCCCCTCCCCCCATATAACGCACCCGTAACGATGCTCAACCCTCCCCCCC